AAATTTTTATTAACATCGACAGAGACAAATAATAAAATAGAACATTAAAATCGAGATATGTCTCGCTGCATTGCGCGAGTACTATTCTAGTTATGTACTAACTTTTTTGATTATTCCATCAGCATAAATTCTAATTTTGTATTAATATATAATAGATTTCTTGTTATTAACTATGAAAATTTTGTCTTCTCAACCATATGAGATGATCTAACTGGTTGTTTACTTGTGGCTTAATTGGGCTTATTGGTCTATCTGGCTTATTCACACAACTCATTTGGGTTGTTTATTTACGGCTTATTTGCACATAACATAGCTAAATCGCATAGACAGAAATGGTGCGTTGTCCCCATTCAACCACAAAAATGACACATCTACCCCTTATTTAAAGCACCACCTCATTCTCATATGAGCACCTCATCTTCGGCCTCTTTATGATTTTTTGTTTGATGTTCCAATAATTAATATTGGGGGTAAATCGGTCATTTATGTTATTCAGACTGTTGGTTCAGATAAAAAAAGTAAACAACACTCATTTATCCAGACATACAAATTTATCCATAAATGACTTAATAAAAATTTTGGTAACAAGCCCCTTATGTCTATATTTATGATTTTATCGATGTTTTTTTCTTACATTATTCACTTCTTATTACCTAATATTGAGTGCATGAATTTTAAGTACTATCATATCTCTAAAACAACAATAGGATCTCAAACTATCATGACTTTTGATTCTAAGATTAATGGTTCCTAAAAATTTGTTTTAATCCTAAAAGTTTAAAATGGTGATGAAAATGTTAACACGATGTAATCAACTGATTTCTATTGATTTACATAAAATGTACATGTTACTTTGAATAGTCAACATTGTGACATAAAATTATGTTAATCTATATACCAAAGGTATATAATAGAATATGTTTGGCAGTGGAACGGATTTACGATGCTATGTAATAATGATATGGTATATAATATTAATTTAGAAGTAATTATTTATTTATTTTGCATCTAAGAGAACTTGGAAAACGGTTCTATATTAATTACTAATATTTTTTGAATTTTATGCTATTTCTGATAATAAAAGCAATATATTGAAAAAAAATGTATTTATCAAAGGGCCTCTTTTTATATCTCGTCTAGAACCTATAAAATGTTAGGAACGAATCTGTATATATTTATATATTATTTATAAATTTTGGATTGTAGGAGCAAATATGGATTTTAGACAAAAATTACATTGAATTATGATTTTAATAAACATTACATAAAATACGAAGAAAAAAACAAAGTGGATCAACTTTACATCTCTTAATTAATCAATAATTTCTTAAAAAATATAATAATTAATTAAATATTTTTATTAAAATATACGTATATATATATATATATATATAGAGGTTCAAACGAGAACACCTCCATTTTACGATAATGCGATAACACCCTTATCACATGTGATAATACGCGCGAGGGAAGCATGTGACGTACGAACGATGTGTTCTACGACTTAGGTCGTGCCAAAGATTGCAAGCGTTTATGATTTAGCATCACATATGATGGTCTTGATGTATTATGGTATCATATCAACAACACCCTTATCACATGTGATAATACTTGTGAGGGGTCTTAGTGGTGTAAGGGCGACTTGACCCGCAACCAAGATCGCATTGAAAATCGCCCGCGTCTCTGATTTAATATCACATGTGATGGAATAATAGTATCATATGTGATTGTGTATAGTAAAAAGGTGTTCTCGCATTCTCGTAAAATGAAGGTATTCTCGTTTGAACCATTCCTTATATATATATATATATACACACACACACACACTTGGGATCATGTGAGACCAATGGTTTTCCGTGAGACCCGTAAGACCAATTCTCAACCATTGAATTAGATCTACAGTCAAACAATTTGAACATTCATAAACGCCACGAGACTTCTCAATAATCACAAAATTGTCACTGTGCAACTTTAAACCATTAGCTCATAAAGTTGATCAATGAATATAAATTGGTCTTACGGGTCTCACGAAAAACCCTTGGTCTTACGTGAACCCAACCCTATATATATATATATATATATATATATAGGGGCCTAATAAAAAAAGAACTGATTAATTTGTGCTAACTGTAAGGTCTAATCTCAACCACAAATTAACGGATAAATTAGGAAATTAATAATTATAGTAATTTGAGTTAAAATTATAATTAGAGGGCATATTAGGTATTTTAAAAAAAACTCCTCTCTCCTCATTCCGACCTCCAATATCCGGCCTCCGGTGAAGGGTATCACAGTATATCACAATGGGTATCACATTGTGTATCTTTGTTTTTAAGGTTTGAATTGGTATCATAGTTAGTATCCCAATGGGTATCACATTGTGTATCTTGTGATTACTTGGTACCTGCAGGATTAATGTTTACCAGAGGCCGGAGATTGGAGGTCGGAGAGATGAGAGAGGAGAGAGGATTTTTTTAAAAATACCTAAAATATCCTCTAATTATAATTTTAACTCAAAATTACCATAATTATTAATTTCCTAATTTATCCGTTGATTTGTGGTTGAGATTGAATCTCACAGTTACCACAAACTAATTAGTTCTCTCTTGAATGAGCCCCTATATATATATATTAGACTTGGGATCATGTGAGACCAAAGGTTTTTCGTGAGACCCGTAAGACCAATTCTCAACCCTTGGATTAGATCTACAATTTGACAATTTGAACATTCATAAACTCCACGAGACTTCTCAATAATCACAAAATTGCCACCGTGCAACTTTAGTCCATTAGATCATTAGTTTATAAAGTTGATCAATGAACATAAATTGATCTTACGGGTCTCACGAAAAACCATTGTTCTCACGTGAACCTAACCCTATATATATATATATATATATATATATATATGGGCTTAATCAAATGAGAGTAAGTTTCTACCTATTTAGGCTTTTAGTTGCTAAGTTTCATTTTTATGTTTATTTAAGTTTTAGGTCTCGTACATAATTATCATTTATCCTTCAAATTATATATTAAAAAAATCCTCACACGTTACAAATGAACTTATTGTAGCGCACCATAAGACGTCATAACACGTATTGCATCATAATGTGTCACAATTGAGCCGCATGGGTTAACGTGGTGGGGGTAAATGTATTCTAGCTATTTTCAAATAGAACAGAAGTATACGCTTTAAGTCAACATATAACCCATGCCTTGATGCCCAGTTATCTAGAACTATGGTTAATACGTTCAATCGTATAAGTGGAAACAATCGAAATAATTTTTTTTTTCTCAATCCTCAATATCAAGATTTAGAGATGTCTCCAAATTTAAGGATTTATAACTTTTCTTTCTTGAACATTTTAAAATATCTTTTGAAACACAGTATTCTTCTAAATCTCTATTTTAAAGTATCTTTTTACTTGTTAGAAATGTATGTAACAAAACAGATAACATAAATGAAAATGTCTTTTACAGTTTTATAAATAATTGTATGTTTATGTTATTTATATATTATTTTTAGGCTACATTTGGTACATGAGACATGACATGACAAAACTCATCCCATATTTAGTGTGATATATGGGACAAGACAAAAACTCATTGTTCACGTTTTGACATGACATGAAACAGAGACAATGATTGACATGGTGAAAACAAAAATATATTTTCTTGTTCCAACAAAATAGATGGAACAATACAGTAAAAAAACGAGACATAAACTAAAAAATTACTAATATACCTTAATTTAATATAAACCCAATGTAATATTTATTTTAACGATCACTAATGCAATTATGATACACCGAGATGCAATAGATTAATCTCCATATAAAACATAATTCATAAATAAGTTTGATATTAAAAGTGATAAAAAATTTAGAGTTTTTTTTTTTCCTTCTCAAATCTCACTTTAAGGGGGTGTTAGGTTTTTCTACAAAAACACTTATCAACTTATTATAAATCAGAAGAGTTTAACTTATTCAAAAACTTCTTATTAGCTGTTTGATACTGATATAAGTTGTTTATCCAAACACTAAAAAATATTTATTACCGATATCACACCAAAATAAGTCAATATCTTATTTTTATAAGCAATCCCAACCGCTCCTGGTATGCTTTTTACACGATAAAAAAAAAAAAAAAAAAATAGTGGTACCAACGAGAAATTCATAGGGCACCACTTCCCATCAGAGCTTTTGGTCGGCTGTGATGGCGCAATTTTGGAAGCCAGGGACTGTGAAGCCTCGCATGCTCGACGACGAAGAAGGCGGCGTTCTTTTCTACTCCGCCTCCCCCTCCTCTTCATCCACGTAACATTCCTCTTCTTTCACTTTCTCCTCAACACCCAAAAAGTTTGATTTTTGGCGGTAAATTGGAAATCAAAATCGACATGGAGTGTTCTTTTTGTAAATTTCGTTTGATGCTCAAAATCAATATGTTGATTTTCTCTGTGGTTTGAGACTTTGAGTGAGTATCAACAACTAATTGGAAACTAGATGTAATGCTATGAATTTCGAACCGGAATCAATTGCAGATATGGGCATGCGAGCTTAGAGAAGCAGAGGCAGAGATTACCTGTGTTCAAGTATAGAACGTCGATTTTATATCTGGTGGAGACTCATTCTACTACCATCATCGTCGGCGAAACGGGAAGTGGCAAAACCACTCAAATCCCTCAGGTTTCAATCCCTTTTCTTCTCTTTGTATGTACTATGCTATTATTCAATTGGGGGAAAAGAGATTTTGTTTGGATTTTGATGTCAAACCCACTAGAATTCTTATTCAAAGTTGATGAGATGATATTGGTTTCTTTGCAAATGTAATGCTAATTATGTTCTTTTTGTTTATAGTAGTTGTTATGAAGGTTGGTTAATGTAGTTTAGGGTTTATAGTGCTGATTGATTTTAAAGTTGATATCTTCTATCTGATTTAAACAGTCTAATTGTGTATCTTCAATTGCAATGGACGTAGTATATAATTTACATGAATTGCATAGTTTCATGTTATCAAATTTCTTCCAACCCAAGATAAACAAATATAAGGATAAGCAGACTTAATAAAGAGGCTCAATTTATCTTTTTTCTGTTTTTTCTCCCTCACCTTTAGGTGGAGTTTCGTTCGCGTGATGGAATATGTTGGAATTGGAATATGTCAAAGGAATTGGAATGAAATTTGGTCAGATTTGACCATGTGTTTGGTTGGTAGGAATCATAATGGAATTTGTCTGTTGGTTCATTGAATATAATAGTAGTGGTGTGGTGGAGGCGGTAGTGGTGGTGGTGGTAGTAGTGGCGGTGGTGATGATGTTGGAATTTGAATTTTTTACGAAAACTCAAAGAATGAACCAAATGCAAGAACGGAATTTTATTCCAATTCCTTAATTTCCTTCAGATTCCAACAAACCAAACACCACTTTAGTGTTGAATTTGTGTGCTTGTGGTGTCAAAAACTTAGTTTTGGTTGTTAAATTAAAGCAGATGGGTCTTTCAAGGGAAACATAATCTTTAAGCATGTTGTTATCAATTCATGCTTAATTTTGTAAAAGTATAAAATTTGAAATCGGTAACAAATAACTTGAATATTGCAAATTGTTTTCTGATATGCCTCTGTGTTTCTAGTGGAATGAACCACATAGATTTAGGCATAGCTATGAATTATATATTTGAGTCAGGACCATGAGAATTATTTTCATTATAAGATGAAAAGAGGTGAAGGTACCTTTATATTGTGTGAATGTTATGTTATATTTTGTGACGGTTGTAACATGAACATGACCTAAAAACGTGTATTCACACAATATAAGGTTATATTCACATCACGGGTCTCACGATAAGGTTACGTTATATTATGTGAAGATTTTACCTTTCTCACTTTCTCATGAAAAGGGATTGTTCTCACCGGAACCAAACCCTTATGTATTTAGCATATTCCCGATGGTTATTTAATCTTGCAGTACCTCAAGGAAGCAGGCTGGGCAGATGGCGGGCGCATCATTGCATGCACTCAACCAAGACGATTGGCTGTGCAGGTACTCGCTGCCAAATTAAATTTTAATACTTGTAACAAAATTTTCAACATTTTCTTTTGGAATATCTTTTGTTCTTAATGTGAACAAGATGCAAACAGTTCTAAAAATATTCACAATAGAGAAACGGGCATTGGATCTCAATTTATGGAGGTTATATATTTTGAAATTATATTATCTTACGGTTTTGAGTTCATATCATGTTTTTCAGAGTGTTGCTGCACGGTTGGCAGAAGAAATGGGAGTAAACCTTGGGGAGGAAGTCGGTTATACTATTCGATTTGAAGATGTGACAAATTCAGTAAGACTTTATTTAATGTTGAAATCATGCTAACATGTATGACTCCTAAACAAAGACATCTTTACAAACTTATTCTCATGTGAATAGGTTGCGTTGTCTCAATGATGCATTTTATCCAATGATCCCTAATTCCTTTTGCTTAACATGTAAATTCAAGCTACCTGGTTGATCCCGCTAGTAGCCATATGCTTGTCCAAAGATTAAGCCATGCATGTCAGCATGTGTAAGGGCTCGTTTGTTTGCAGCTTAATGAGCTTAATGGGACTCATAGCTTATTCGGTCAGCTATACATGACTGTTTGGTAGTGGCTTAATGATATATGAAGTGGCTTAATCAGTAAGCTTTTAGAGGGGAGTTTTATGCAGAAAGACAAGTTTTTTCCAAACCTGCCCTCCCCAATTAAAGAACACGCTCATTCCATCTACGAAGAAACCTCCCAAACAAAAATCTTCCTAATCTCTACAGACAGGTTAATCCACACATACTGCTTTATCCATACAGGACTTAATGGAAAATCAACCAAACACCCATTAATTATGAACAATAATGGCTCATTAAATCAGTTAATAGTTATAGTTTGTTTGATAGAATCTGCTACTTGAATACCATATAGTTCTAGAGCTAATATGTGCAACAAAACCCCGACTTCTGGAAGGGATGCATTTATGCTTTGAAGGGTCAAGAGTTGTTCATATTTCTCTTTTTGGCAGCACAGGACTTAACAAGGATCAAATTTCTCACGGATGGAGTATTACTTAGGGAAATGATGGATGATCCTCTCCTAAGCAAGTACAGGTGCTTGTTACAAATCCTAGTTATTTTGCTATTTATTCAAATTGTTAATTTGTTCTTAAGTTCAAATGATATATTTCAGTGTGATTATGGTGGATGAAGCTCATGAAAGATCCCTTTCAACCGACATATTGTTGGGTCTCCTGAAAAAGGTATCACATGAATGCTGTGTTTTCGAATTTGGGGAGAAAAGAAAAGAAATCGAAGAAAAAGAAAAGCGAAGGAAAAGAAAGGAAAGGAATTTTTTTTATTTGTGTTCTCGAGAGGGAAGGAAAAGGAAGGAAAGGAAAAGATAGAAAATACTTTTCCATGTTCATGAAAAGGAAAGAAAGGAAAGGAAAGATGTCATTTTTACAAATATACCCTTTAAAATCTATCTTTTAAAAATTAAGGTTGGATAGTTTTGTAAATTTAATAATCTTTTTGGGGTTTTAATTTCTTTCCTTTCATTTTCTTCCCTTTCCTCCCACATTTGGGAGGAAAATTTTCATTATTTTCCTTCCGTTTCCTGTCATTTCTCACCTAAAAAAGTTTCGAGAACACGAGTTCTTTTACTTTCCTTTCCTTTCTCTCCCTTTTACTCATGATAAAGGTTCCGAGAACACAACGGAAGATTCAAGATCCATATCGAACGACTTTCCAAAAGAATGTGTTGCACTTTTGTTTATGTTACTATCGCTAATGACTGATTTCCCAGATACAACGCCGTAGGCCCGAGTTGCGCCTAATTATTGCATCAGCTACTATTGAAGCAAAATCGATGGCTGCATTTTTTCAGACCAGGTTTGCTTATTAGTATAATGATTCATATTAAGGGTCAACTTGTATCTATTAATTTCTCTCCTAATGTGGTTCGGTCTACTCTAAATGGATGATTATGGCTATGATATCACAAATTTGTGTATTCATCAGGAAAAGGCGGCCTCAATTGGAAGGAGAAGATCATGGACTGAAGACAGAACCTGCTATTTTGTCCGTTGAGGTATATTATAGCGGTATATCGTGTACTCCCTCCATTTTCATAATAAATGTCCAATTTCTATTTTAGTTAGTCCCAAAACAAGTCATGTTTCAGTTCTACCGTTAATTATGAGATGGAGACATTACTTCTTCTATTATTGAGGATAAAATTGTCGTTTAGTTGATTAAAAAATAGAATAATTATACATTTCTAAAACCGTGTTTTTATTTTCATTGTGGACATTTATTTTGGGACGGTGGGAGTATGATACAATCTAATCATGGAGTAAGCTTCTATGTTGCTATTCTTTGTTCGCTTATCTTGAAATGATGTGATTTCAGGGTCGAGGATTCAATGTACAGATTTTCTATGCCGAGGAGCCTGTTTCCGACTATCTCCGAGCTACCGTTTCGACAGTTATGTCTATTCATAATAAGGTACACTTGCTATTGTAGACAACATTTGGAACTATATCATATAATGATATAATTTATTTTAATTATTCTTTAAATTACTTATACATTTTTTCCTCAAAATTTAGCATATCTTTATTTTTCCCTTTCGCACACTTTGGTCATTTCCCAACACCCGGGTTACCTGTAGATCCTAACCTCTCTGAGGTCAAGGTTTAAGCCTCACCAAAGGTGAGGAGTGTGTGTGAAATTTGTTATATATAAATATTATATACTTTAAAAAAGGGTCACCTAATCTTTATCGTTTGAGCTTGCAGGAGCCAATGGGAGATATTCTTGTCTTTCTAACCGGGCAAGATGATATTGATTCTGCAGTTCAATTGATCACAGAAGAAGCCCAAAATGATGGCAAGTCTTCTTTAGGTATGTCAGATGCTTATTATCCGTTGATCTTGCTTTCTTTTGTAATCTGAGACCAATCATGGGACCGTGGTTATATGAGGTGGGAATCTACCGGTAACCCGGGTGCTGCTGGGCCAATGACCCTTTGGTACTAAGGGCCTGTTGTTAGCAGCCTAATGAGCTTAATGGGACTCAGCTTATTCAGTCAGCTATAAGTGACTGTTTGGTTGTGGCTTAATGATATAGAAAGTGACTATTCAGTAAGCTTCTAGGAGGGAGCTTTATGTAGAAAGCCAAGTTTTTTCCAGACCTGCCCTTCCCAATTAAAAAACATGCTCATCCCGTCTATGAAAAAACCCTCCCAAACAAAAACCTTTGCAATCTATACAGATAGATTAATTCACACAGACAACTTTATCCATACAGAACTTAATGGAAAACCAACCAAACAACCCAATACTAGTATTACTTACAACTTGGAATATGTGGTATATCATATTGCCCCATGCCCCCATCCATGGTAAGATAAACATAAAAGAACCCTAAAATTAATACCATCTTCGATCAAATGGGCACTTCCGGTTTTATTCTATGGCGGCAGTGGTTCAGCTTTTCATGGTGATCTAACTTGAAATAGAAAATGCTTATTTTGACACAATTTTGGTTAAATATCATTTCAGGAATGATTGTTTTGCCTTTGTATTCGGGCCTCACTCGTGCAGATCAGGTTAGTTATCTTTTCTTTTTCTTATTCATGGCTCGTAATGTATATAGAAGATATTATGGAGGCTGTGAACACTTATTGACTATATATGATTTTCTTGTCGGACATTTTTAGGACTTGGTGTTTTCTCCTTCCCCTAGAGGGAAAAGGAAGGTAGTGATCTCAACAAACATTGCAGAGACATCCTTGACGCTGGAGGTACTTTTGAGCGTTCCTTAATTTTAAGTGTGCATATATATATATATATATACATATATACGCATAATCATTTACAAAACCCAATAAATTGTACAAATATATATATATATATATACACATACGCATAATCATTTACAAAACCCAATAAATTGTACAAACTTCCAAGCCAGTTTTTATGTGTTGTTTCACATATGAAACAACACGCGTAAAAATGCAGTGTTTATACAATGTTGTTTTATATGTGAAACGTTCAGGGCTGTTTTATGTGTGGAAAAGACAATTATGAAAGTTTGTCATACGAAACAACTTCGTATAAACACCACATTTTCACGTGTTGTTTCATATACGAAACAACACATAAAAACTGGCTTGGAAGTTTGTACAAAATATTGGGTTTGTAAAAGGAGGGACTCTCTCTTTCTCCTTGTATTTGGTGAGGTTTGAATGCTTGACCCCTGGGGAGGCTAGCATTTACCGGTAACACAGATATTGCTGGGCCAATGACCCTTTGGTTACTTTTGAGCGATGTTCTTGAATATAATGGTGAATTGTAGGAAATGTATTTTCTTATTGTTGTCGAATTTCTTGGAGCAGGGTATCGTGTATGTTATTGATAGTGGCTTCTCAAAACAGCGGTTCTACAACCCGGTATTTTTCTTCTTCTTTTAGTTGCACCATCCTCTTTATTGATACTACTCCCTCCGTCCCAAGATTAATGCCTACAATTCTATTTTGTTTGTCCAAAAATAAGTGTCGACTTTCAAAAATGCATACTTTCCAGTTATATCCTTAATTATGAGATGGATTTGTTATTAAGGGTAAAATTGTCATTTAGTTAATTAAAAAGTGTAGTAATTATACAGTTTTAAAACTTTGTGCCTTTTTCATTGTGGACATTTATTTTCCGACAGAGGGAGTAGTATTTCCGAGTATAATCTCATGATAACATATTTGATTTATTATGCTTCATTTTTCTCTTTGACTAATATATTTCTAAAAACGTATACTTTTCTGCCATTCAGTCATATATATATTTGAAATCTGGTATCTTCTTGTCCCAGATTACAGATATAGAAAATCTTGTAGTGGCACCAATATCCAAGGCATCTGCTAGGCAAAGGGCTGGACGGGCTGGACGAGTACGGCCAGGGAAATGTTACAGGTGCTACAACTTACAACTATATATATATATATATATATATACACACATACATTCATAAGGTGGAAGAAAATGAGAAATTGAAGAACACCCCTGTAACCATTCATCTGGACGGTATGCACATGTGCATACAAGTAATTTGTAAGCAAATTGTCCGGTATGCACATGTATATACACACACACACACACATATATATATATATATTATATATATATAAATAGAGTATTGCTCATGTTTTGCTAGAAGCAGTGTGAAAGTGAAAAATGGTTATTGGTATATATTCTTGTAACTTTTGTATCACAATTATCAGGCTCTATACAGAAGATTATTTTGTGAATGAGATGTCTTTAGAGGGTATTCCTGAGATGCAGAGATCGAACCTTGTTTCTAGTGTGATTCAGGTATGGCTTAAAAGATTATATTTAAATTTCGATGCTTGGAAGGTTGTATTCATCCATGAGTTAAAACACAATGACAATGAGATATCTTTAGGATTCACACGTATATATATATATATATATATATATATATATATACATGTAAATGCATATATATATATACACACACAAACATTTATATATGCATTTGTATTAATGTGTGTTTGTGTGTGTATACACATACACACACTTGGGGTATAAGTAAACATTTATACGGGGAGGTTTAGATGAAAACATCTGGAATGTTGCAAACGTGGAAATATATCTCATTGGTCAGATGGATTTGATCCAAAAAATGGGATTATTTAGGTTGTCAATATCATTTTTAGAACAAAAAATAACCCCATCCTAATTGAAAATTGGTGAACTGTAATCAAAATTGGAGACAAATGAATTATACCAAAAAACGAGCATTTTTTTTGATTTGACATCAATATTTTTATACTTTTTTATTCGTTTTTCGTGTTTTCATTTGAACCGCCCCTTACATATATGTGTATACAGACACACGTGTATATCATTTGTGTATATATACACAATATATATGCAATATATACATGTATACATATATATACACATATTCACACACACATATACATATATATATATATATATATGTGTGTGTGTGTGTGTGTGTATGGTGTTGGTTCCGGTGAGAATGGAAGTTACGTTGAGAAGGGTGAGAAGGATCTCCACCCTTGGATCAATCCTAATTGAATATCAACACTAAAGAGATGCACCAAGATGCAATTGATCAATTCCCTTGAGAAGCACAATTCATTGGGTGGGGTGAGATTAAAAGTGATCAAGGGTGCAGATCCCTTCTTATGCTTCTCATGTTAACTCCTATTCTCACATGATCTTCCGTCTATATGTATGTGCGTATGTTTATATACATATGTTACAAATATATTTGCATCATACATAAATGTATACATGGGTGTGTACAAATACAAATGTGTGTGTGTGTATATATATTGTGGAATTCTTTTTTATTTCACTTGTCTCAAAAGAGGGAGGTACAAAGGCTATATATACACAAAGAATATGAGAAGAAAAGGAAAGGATTCCTAAGATATTCACAACAGCTAATTACAAGGAGATATTACCCATAATCCCCAATTCCTATTTTACAATGATATCGAGTATCTTTAAGGATATTGATTATCTTTAAGGATACCAAGTATCTCTAAGGATACTGAGTATCTCTAAGGATACTGAATATTTCTACATCCCCCCAAGCTGGGAAATATATATTGATCATTCCTAGCTTGGAGCATAGATTTTCAAAAGCTGGTCTTTGGGGAGCTTTAGTAAGGATATCTGCAATTTGTTGTTGTGACGGCGTGTATCCAATACTAATAATTTTGGCCTCAATTTTCTCGCTTATGAAATGTCGATCAATCTCAATATGCTTTGTCCGATCATGGTGGACCTGATTCTTTGCAATTCTTATAGCTGCCTCATTGCATGAGAGTTTAATCGACTCCGAAGTTTCAACTTTGAGTTCATCGAGAAGTCTCTTAGGCCACATCCCTTTACATATTTCGTGTGCCATTGCCCTATATTCGGCTTCTGCACTACTTCTTGCAACAACTGATTGTTTCTTACTTCTCCATGTGACAAGATTGCCTATTACAAAAGTACAATAGCCTGAAGTAGACCTCCAATCAGTGAGAGACCCGCCCCAGTCTGCATCAATGAATACTTTTATACCTCTATTTGAACCTTTGATAAAAGCAATTCCTTTTCCAAGTGTCCCTTTGAGGTACCTCAGATTTCGATATGGCGCCTCCATGTGTTCATCTGTGGGCTTGTTCATAAACTGGCTTACAACACTTATTGGGAACCCTATATTGGATCTTGTGTGTGAAAGGTAGATTAGTTTTCCCACTAGCCTTTGGTACCTTCCTTTGTCTACTGGAATGTTGTCTTGCTTGGATCCCACCTTGTTGTATGGGTCCATTGGCATGCCAGCTGATTTACATCCAAGCATGCCTGTTTCTTTCAGGAGATCTAGACATACTTCCTTTAAGAGATAAAGATTCCTTTTCTTGATCTAGCAACTTCCATTCCAAGGAAATACTTCAAATTTCCAAGATCTTTAATCTCAAATTCCTTCGACAATAGGGTATTGAGACGGCCAACTTCTATGTGATCATTGCCAGTCAGGACTATATCATCAACATAGACAGTAAGGGCAGTTACCTTTTGATCAAAAGTCTGCTTAACGAAGAACATGTGGTCCGCTTGGCCTTAGGTGTATCTCGTTCTTCTCAGAACTTTAGAGAACCTATCGAACCAAGCCCGTAGGGACTGTTTTAGGCCATAGGGTGACTTTTTGAGTTTGCATACCTTGCCTTGATTTGCCTATGAGTTGAATCTAGGTGGAATGTCCATGAAAACTTCTTCTTCAAGATCGCAATTAAGGAAAGCGTTTTTTACATCGAGTTGGTGCAGTGGCCAATCTAGGTTTGCAATGATAGATAACAAGACTCTGATGGTGTTGAGCTTGGCAACTAGTGCAAATGTTTCTTGGTAGTCTATCCCATATGATTGAGTAAATCCTTTAGCTACCAATCGCGCCTTGTATCTCTCAGTTGTGCCATCAGATTTGTACTTTACTGAGAAGATTCATTTGCAGCCTACCGTCCTCTTTCCTGGTGGAAGATCTGTAATCTCCCATGTTTGGTCTTATCCAACGCCTTGATTTTTTCAAATGTTGCGTCCTTCCATGCTGGGTTTTGTAAGGCTTCATGAATAGAGGTGGAACCTGAGTTTCATCCAATCTTGACACAAAGGCATGATAATTGAGTGATAATCCCTTGTAAGATACAAAATTCTTTATTGGATGTGAAGTACAGGTTGGAACCCCCTTTCTTAGAGCAATAGGAAGATCTAGATTATCAACATTAGTAGGCTCACTAAGGCGCATACCTTGAGATTCAGGAGTTGAATTGGTTGAGACTCGTGGCACTGCTCAGATTGTATGGCCTGTACTTCCTTGTCCTGCTTCCATGGTGTAGACTAGGGTTTCCTTTTGAGGGTTGAGGTGTGTATTTTCTATTGGTGTCATAGGAGGTTGAATGATCGGTTGAAGGATGGGTGGGGTTAGTTTGGAGTGGTTCAGTTTTTGGCACATACGGGAAGAGAGTTTGATCTTCTTTGGTTTTGGAAGAGATTGGAGGAAGGGATTGGATTGGGTTGGTGTGACTACCTTCAATCGTGTGAGGGTGTTCAATCATATTCCCCCCATGAACATCCATGTAGTATGGTTTGTTTTCGAAGAATGTGACATCCATGGAGGTGAAAAACTTTCATTAAGAAGGGGAGTAACATTTATACCCTTTTTGGTTTAGAGAATAGCCGAGAAAAATGCATTTTGAAGCGTTGGGGTCAAGTTTGCTTCTTTGATGTGGATGAATATGGACAAAGGCTGTACACCCAAATTTTTTTGGAGGTATGTCTGAGACGAGATGAGTGTTAGGAAATGACAGTAGAAGGACTTGCCATGGGGTTTTGAATTTTAGGACTCGAGATGACATTCGGTTTATGAGATAGGTAGAGTAAGAATAGCATCTCCTCAAAAGTGTTTGGGGACGTTAGAGGTAAAGAGAAGGAAATGAGAGGTTTCAAGTAAGTGTCTATTTTTCCGCGTGGCAGCCCTATTTTGTTGAGGGGTAGCGACATATGAGCTTTGATGTACAATCCCTTGCTGAGAGAGGTAATTGCCAAGGGCATTGTGGTAGTCATCCGATGCATTATCAATCTTTAGAAGTTGGATATTTGTGTGGAATTGGGTTTTTATCATTGTATGAAGTTTGATGAAAAGGCTTTTGGTTTGTGATTTTTCCTTCATGAGAAATACCCAAGAGAGACGAGTATGGTCATCCACAAACAGTAGGAACCACCTAGCTCCTGTTGCATTACTTACTCTTGTTTTTCCCCATGTCACCATGTATCACAGAGAGAGAGAGGGTGAGATGGTTTGTGTAATTTAGGTGGATAGATTGTATGGGAGTGTTTTGAGAATTGACAAATATCACACTGAAATAACTGAGGATTTTTATTTCTGAATAATGATGGATATAGTCGAGACAAATAACTAAAATTAGGATGACCTAAACGATAATGTAGATTTAAGATCTCAATATCCTGCTGATTCTGACTTGATATTGGAGGATTGGTTGAGTTATTCGTCAGTGCAAGGTGGGTATGGTTGGCGGCATGACTTGGATCAAGTTGCATTATAAGTTGGTACAGACGTGCACTAATCTCAGCATTGCCAGTCATCCTCCCAGAGTCCAAATTCTGAAAAACATAACCATTGGTATGAAAATTAGTGGTGCAATTGCAATTAAGTTTGGGAACAAAGAGGACAGATTTGAGATTGATATTCGGTGACACTTTGTTGGATCCGAGGCCTGTTACTTTGGAGCAGCTTCCATCGGCAATTCGGACGAATAAATGTGAGGAGCACAGTTTCAAATTATCAAACAACTGTGGGTTTCCAGTCATGTGATCTGATGCACCGGAATTCACTATCCAGGTTTGAGATGATAAGTTAAGACAGTAAAGACTGCTGGTTGAATACATGTTTGAGCAACATTTCCCGAGCTTGGGGTGGAAGAGATTAGAGAGGATGCCATAGCTGTTGTCTGGATATGTGCTGGCTGTTGGACCGAGCCAAACATCTTTTGGAGCATCTCCATTTGTTCTTTGTTAAATGGAGGAGTCTCGGCCTGAGGAGAATTAGTTCCACACACAAGGTTTCCACGACTTTCAATGCCATTAGTTGCTCGTTTAGGCTTCCAATCAGCTGGCTTTCCATGTATTCTTCAACAATTATCCCGGACAGGGCCGGGTTTGTTGCAGTGATCACACCACGACCTTCCACTTTTGGGTCTGCTTTCATTTGATGATGAGTGATTCCCTCCTGGATGTGAATTTGAGTGCTGGCATGAGGATCCCCATGCAGCAAGGGCAGATCGGTCGACTTGTAAGGTTGTAGGGACTGTCCCCATCATGACTTTCTTACGGCTTTCTTCTCTTTTGGACCTCCGAAAACACTTCCCTGATTGGGGGTAGTGGTTTGATTCCTAGAATTCGTCCTCGGATTCATCTAAGTCCTTGTTGAGTCCCATGAGGAACTTGAATATTCTTCTCATCTCTATCATTTTCTGAATTGTAGCTCGATTTGCAGGGCACTTCCATTCATGAACTTTATAAAGATTGAGTTGCTGCCAATGCCTAATCAGTAAGTTGTAATAAACAGTGACAGATAACTCTCCTTGACGTAAATCATGGAGTGTGCTTTCGATGGCAAACAATTCTGCAGTGTTGTTACTGGAATACGTATCTCTAGCAGCCTCCCATATCTCTTGAGCCGTAGAGTAGAGAAGAACATTTTCCCCTATTTCTAGGGTCACAGAGTTAATCAGCCATGCCATCACCATGCTGTTTTCTGATTTCCAGTTCTTGAAACTAGGCTCATCAGATTTAGGAGTAGGAACAACCCCTGTGAGGTGATCTTCCTTTCCTCGACCACGTATGTATTGCATGACCAATTGAGATCATTGAAGGAAATTATGGCCATTTATTTTATGAATTATGACCAGTAATTGGAAGGAAACTCTCAGAGTTTTCTAGAGGATTTAGATGAGAAGTCTTTGTTTGGAGATGATTTCTGAGTGTTTTTGGGAAGAGGATTTTGTGCCAGTCATAATGATATTGAGGAAGGGGAGAGGACAACGATAGGAAGGGGACTGTGGAGCTTACCGTTGTTGCTTAATCGCTGTTGTGATTGAAACACAACAGCAAGAGGAGAATAGTCTGGGATCAGAGATGCTCTGATACCATGTGGAATTCTTTTTTATTTCACTTGTCTCAAAAGAGGGAGGTACAAAGGTTATATATACACAAAGAATATGAGAAGAAAGGAAAGGATTCCTAAGATATTCCTAGCAGCTAATTACAAGGAGATATGACCCATAATCTCCAATTCCAATTTTACAATGATATCAAGTATCTTTAAGGATATTGAGTATCTTTAAGGATACCGAGTATCTCTGAGGATATTGAGTATTTCGACATATATATACACATACATCTCTACTCCCTCCATCCCAAAATAATTGTCTACTTTTTTATTTAAGTTTGTACCAAAAATAATTGACCATTTTCGAAAATGGATGCAGTTATAATTTACTAAATTTCCCATTCATCACTTAATGGTGACACACTAATAGTTAAGAGTTGATGAAATGAAGAAATTCGTTAGTGGAATAATTATATATTTCTAAACTATGTACTTTTTTATCGAGGGTAAAATTGTCATTTGGTTAATTAAAAAGTTTAGGGGGGAGGTTTTGGGGAAAACCCCTAAAAAATGAAAAACTGAAGAACACCTTGGTAATTGTTCATTTGGACGGTATGAACATGTGCATACACTTATTGAAGCTGTTTTTTTGTTTTACAAATTGCTTACAAATTACTTGTATGCACATACCGTCCAGATGAACAGTGAACGGTTACCGGAGTGTTCCTAAGTTCTTCAATTTTTTTGTGGTTTTCCCATGTACCTGACCCTATATATATGTGTGTGCATATGATTTTTTCATGCTTGTTTGTTGAAACTTTGTTAAGAAAAGGAAGTCTTCCAATATTCTAACAATTGTATCCTGGTAACTGCAGTTAAAAGCCTTGGGCATCGATAATATCTTAGGTTTCGATTGGCCATCATCACCGTCACCTGAAGCAATGGTTAGAGCTCTTGAAGTACTTTATTCACTTGGAATTCTTGATGACGATGCTAAACTTACTTCACCAGTCGGATTCCAAGTTGCAGAGCTACCATTGGTTCGTTATATCATTTAGATGAATTTAAGCTTTCAATCGTGCATTATTATTTTAGAAAAATACCCTCCATTTCTTTTGCAATTTATACAACTTGTGTATCGTATTTTGTTGTTTTTTAGGATCCGATGATCTCGAAAATGATTATAGTTTCCGACGAACTTGGATGTTCGGAAGAAATCATCACTGTGTCTGCTATCCTCTCAGTTCAGGTGTTCAAATATTTCCTTCGATGTTTCTCACATTCAAGTTTATATAAATGTCATCAGGTTTTTCGCTGAGTTTGACTTATTTTCTAGATGTTCATATTCTGACGATAAAGATACAACTTTTCACAGTCAATATGGATTTCCGTTAAGGGGCAGAGGGAGCTTGATGAAGCCAAATTGAGATTTGCCGCATCAGAGGTGCGTTATATGACAAAACATATCTATAAATTCGTAATGGATTTATGATGTCTCTAAACCCTAGAACCCAAATGCTAAACCCCAAATCCTAAACAATTTTTTTTAAATCCTGGTTGGATATGAACTCGTAGTGGCATAAAAGTATTTATGTTTCTATTTATACTCTTGGCTTTGATTAAAACCATAAGGAAGTCATTTCTCGTTTCCATTTCTTCAATCAATGTAACAAAGTTTCAAATTTTATATTTTTTTCTCATGTTGACAGGTAACCTGCTGATCTTGTAACATTAGATGATGTTGATGTCAAGTTTATTGGGATTTCGTTGTTACCCTTTCGTAAACGAGTATCTGTGCCATCAGAATGTTACAAGATTAGCTAGTTATCGGTCAAAATGAGTAAAAGATAGGAAATTATGAAACTTTATTACATGGATCAAGAAAAAAAATTATTTGTTACATTAAACAAGAACTAAACCAAACTTTGTTGCATCTTGCCCTTTTAAATGCATTAAAGAATCCTTGAATCACATACAGGTTTCGTACTTATAGGAATTTCTTCTATAACCGTCTACCGTTTTCTTTTTGATACTTTCTTTCCCACTTATGATGCTTATTTATTTTTTGAAGGGTGATCATGTGACCTTCCTCAATGTATACAGGGGGTTTCTTCAATCTAATAAATCATCAAAATGGTGTCACAAAAACTTTATCAATTACCATGCAATGGTAAGCTTTACTAGATCTTAATTATGATCGTTCTTCTGGATCTCTTAGGGCTGTTTGGTTTGACATAATGTTTTTGAGGGATTTGGATTTCATGGAAGGATTTGGAATCTTTGGTGTGTTTGGTTTGTAGGATTGGAATGGAACTGAAAATTCCATTTATTAATTGCTTATTACAAAACGAATGCTCTTAATATATTTTAAAACATCATAACAAACAAATCCTATGAAATCCCATGAAATACCAATTACGTTCATGGGATTTCAATGAAGTTCCAGGATTTCAATTCCGGGATTTCCTTTAAACCAAACGCGGGATTGAAATGGAATCCAATTCCAAATCCCACCAAGTCCCTGAAACCAAACGGCCCGTAGTTTTCCTAGTGTTTTATGACATTCATTACAGTGATTGCTAAAAAGAGAACCCATTAATGTAATTATTTTTGTCCTTGTTTTCAGAAAAAAGTTATTGAAGTTAGAGAACAGTTAAGAAGAGTAGCACAGCGACTAGGGCTGGCCTTAAAATCATGCCAAAACGATATGCAGGTACTTCTTCAGATTTTCTCGTACTTTCTTTAGTAGTCGTAATGGTGACGGGATATATATATACATGTTTATTATATACATACATCTTTATTTTATGTATATATATAGGGGCATACAGATGAGAACCATAAAAATGTTTAAGAATTGTGAGAACCACACTGAAAATAAAAAAAATACTAAAAATAGAGTAACAATAGTCACATTGTGAAACAACACTGTATTTTTCACATGCATTGTTTCACACCGTGAAACAATACATTAAACTAGTTCCCAACCCTTTTGTGGTTCTCATTTGATTAGTCCCCTATATATGTATAAAGGTTTATGCCTATACATGAAAGGATAATCAAACGGATAAGATTGAAGAAGTGGTTACAACCATCTTATCTTAAAACAACCCCTCTATCTTTTAGTCAAAAGTTGGCGAAATATAACCATAATGGAGCCAAATATACCAAAAAATGAGTATTTTATTTTCTTAATTTGACATCCACATTGGTATACTTTTTTCATCAGTTTTTCCCTATCTCAAAATTCTCAACTTCATTGTCATTTTCATTTGAACTTGCCCCCTATGCATAAATATTATGTGTGTGTGTATACACTCTCTATTATAGAGGGAGGTTCAAACGAGAAGAATAACCAAATAAAAGAACACGAAAATGGCTAAATCATCTGCAAAATCATATGTGATTTTACACTAACGGTCAATGCAAGGGTGTGCAGGCGACTTGGCCAACCAGAGTCGCATGTATCACATGTGATTTTAGTGTAAAATCAAATGTGGTTTGACCGTTTTCTTATTCTCTTATTTGGTTACTGTTCTCGTAATATTAATAATATCCTTGCAAGATTCGTGAATTTAAGTATTGATGGTTAAAAAGTTGGTCTTTTTGGAACATTTTTATCGCCGCTCTTGCATTCTTTTTAAAGATTTCGTATAGTGATTCTTGGTCGTTTTAGGTACTAAGAAGGGCCGTGACTGCTGGATTTTTTGCTAACGCATGTCGTTTAGAGGTGAGCTAGCAAATTTCGCAAAGTTTTTTTTTTAAGTATATAATATTTATATACGGCAAATAGAACAAATAAACCCACACACCCTTCTCACCTTTGGTGAGTTTTGAACCTCTGAGCCTCCTAGGAGGCCAAAGACTCACAAACCGCTAAAGTTATAGCAGGAAGTTTCAGTTTCTAAAATGACAATATTCACACATTTATTCAACCATTCATGTGAATGACAACTTTAGTTTGCTTATTCTCATGTGAAGCCATACAGTCATAATGGGACATACAAGACTCTTAGGAGCTCTCAAGAAGTTTACATTCATCCATCATCCGTATTATTCAGGTTAGCACAACCCTTGTACTATCGAATAAGTCAACGTATATGTTAAAAACAATACTCCATTCGTTCCAAAATAAATTTCTACAATGAAAAAGGCACACAGTTCTAGGAATGTATAATTATAACACTTCTTAATTAACTAAATGACAATTTTACCGTTAATAATAGAGGGGGTAATGAATTTCTTGATCTCGTAAGTAAGGTTAGAATTGGAAAATATATATTTTTGAAAGTGGACAATTATTTTGGAACCAACTAAAACAAAAATATAGACACTTATTTTGGGACAGAGGGAGTATTTATTTACCATGCCTTGTCTTCTGACAATTTGTGGATACGGATCCCTTTTTCTAGTAAAGAAGTGACTTGACCAATTTACCCTTGTAAAAGTACCATTTTGGTTGGCATAGTCAATCACTACCGTTATAATAAGTGAAAACGAGTCGAATATGCTTTCTTGTTTGACCGGCTCTATGTCTCAAAATAAGTGTCCACTTTCTAATTCTACCCTTAATTATGAGATAAATAAATTCATTGTTCCCTCCATTATTAAGGGTAAAATTGTCGTTTAATTAATTAAAAATTGTAATGATTACATATTTCTAAACTGTGTGCCTTTTTCATAGTGGACATTATTTTGGGACGAAGAGAGTATCATACAGTAAACCAGAATTTATTTTACTCGATTGCACAACGGCCAAAGAAATGAAAACCAAACCAAATAATGGCAATATCTTCCAACTGTACGCAAAATCTCAAAGCTTTACTCTGTCTCAGAGAATATTACCGAAAAGACTATCGGCTTGCAATTTTTTTTTTTGAAAAATAAAGCTGTAAATGCATTTCCTCTATTTAAATGATTACGAAAATGTCCTCCGAGCTGCCGATTTGAGCTAACATGAAACTTATGTACTTCAGGGTGAACCCCAAATGGGTTGTTTATCATTCATTGGTCTCGACTGATCGCCAGTACATGCGGAATGTGATTTCCATCGATCCTTCGTGGTTGAGAGAGGCTGCACCTCATTTTTATCAGCAACAACCAATGAATCCTACACACCACTAGGGATGAAATGCTCACTATTCACATGTGCATATGTCTCTCGTTTGAATATTGCTCCATCGGTCTCGAAAAAGTGGTTTTTGTTTTTATCCCCAAAAATGTTTCAATTCAGAGTAAGTGTTAGCACCATATCAAAATTACTCGTGTCATCGGTTAACATCCTATGAATTTGGACGAAACTGATCCAATCCAGTCATTTATTAGATGTTGAATGGATAGTTGGGTCGGATCAGTTCCATCAATTGGATAATATGAGTACCATATAAAATAAATCATTAATCCTTGATACTTGGGTGGTGATTGTTCAGTTTTACTGGATTTTGAATTGGCATTCCACAACCAACCGATTCAATTTGGATATTGAAATTTTGGATCCAATCCAATATAAGCTTATTTGATCAGCCAACTGTAATTGAATCAGATGATTTTTTGCACATTCCTATGTTCAACCTTCGAACGTGTTTTACAGGTTCTTGAACCAAATACGGGTCATTCAGGTTTGATTTTTCTACCGCTCGTAAACCATTCAGATGCATTGCTCATGATTCAAGGTAGCGCGGTGTTGAAGCATTCCGAATGAAAACAAATTATTTGAACATTTGCTTTCAAGTAGCTGGCAATATTATCAAATTTGGCTGAATTCGGATCATATATAGCCATTTGCAATGAAAATCCATCTATGCCAATTGTCTCTTGTATCTTTCAACTTCAATTTTCGGGGCCATTCGGCTGTGAAACATGCTCGATTTAGAAAAAAACGACATCGTTTTGGCAGCTTATTATGCAGTTGCATATCTTTGGTTTTCCCGTTAAGGACAGGGTGGGACATGATAGGATAAAGACTTCTTGTTTCACGTTTGTGATATTAAGATTAAGATGACATAATTGAGTGGGATAAAAACGTTTTCTTTGATCCATCAAAATAGGGGGAGCGAAAATTAGAGAGATGAGACAATATTAGTAAATTACTAAACTACCCTTGATAGATTAAAACCCTAATTTTTTTTTTCACAATTATTTCACCTACTTTAATCTTGTTTTGTTTAAGGGGCTGTTTGCCATTTGCTGAATGGTTTTGTGCAGAATGGTTAAGTGGTCAGAATAGTTAAGAGGGTCAGAATGGTTAAGTGCTGAATGAAATATGATTGTTTGGTAAATGTTTTCTCTGAATGATAACAAATTACCCATTTAATCCTCTATATCAAATTAACTATTCGAAATTCTTCATTTTTTTGTGTAATTTTTTAATTCAATTATTTTAATTTAATTTATGTACAATAACGAAGTAATTTATATTTGTTTAATAATATAATTTTTTTATAAAGATAATAATTATTTATTTTGTTGGAACTCG